TAACATTTATCGGGTGTCAGGCAGGTGGGAGGGGAGAGGAGGGGATGGGTACGTACAAACACAATGAGTGAGATGTGCAACGTTTGGGGGATGGTCATGCTTGAAGCTCTGACTTGAGGGGGGAGGGGGAACATGGGCAATATGCGTAACCTTAACATTTGTACCCCCCTAATATGCTGAAGTAAAAAAAATGGAAAAAAATCTCAATAAGAAAATGTAATTGCTCTAGTAGACTGCTACATAAATAGACACATTGATTCATTCTTCATTTTATTCCACTAAGACTAATGACTGACTAATGAAAATCCTAGTGGAAATCATTGTAATAAAAATAGCAAAAACATTAAGAATAGGACAAGTGAGAATGACGATGGCTGATAAGCATTTGAACCATTTAAGCATCCTAACTAATCCAACCACAAAAATAAGTACTTGCTCATGGGCTGAGTACCTAAAAGAAACCAGGGACCATCTTATATGAATCAAATAGTGTGTGAACCTTAAGAAAAAACAATTCTAAATTGATCCTCTAGTTCCCTTACTGTTCGTAATGTAATCTGTGTATAGTAATGATGTAAGATGGTCTCAAGCTTGTTTTATGCTTTGGTGATGTGCTACTTATTATGTGGATGTGTTTCTAGTTCAAGCAACAAATTATAAATTCTTCCTCCTAAGTTAGTAAAAAAAAAAAAAAAATCATTCTGAAGTGACGCTTCTAACCTCTTTAGTCTTTAGTCATTCCCAAGCCACCTATAAATCCACAAACAAGCACTTTAGGAAAACACATTTACACTCCACTTGATTCCATAAAGGAGTTGATATAGCTTATAAAAAAAAAATAAGATCAACAAGGATTTCTTTTTAAGCTGAGATAGTTTGAGCCAAAAAAAAAATAAAATAAAATAAAATAAAGAACAAGCAGGAAAAATAATAAAAGCAAATGGTAAGAGTAGCATACGAAGATGTTGCACCAGAGCCCTGTAGAATTGGTAGAGGTAGGCTACAAATTTATCACTAAGTTTCTAACAATTAAAGTAAAGAGAGAAACAAAAAATTATAAGGTTCATAGAAGTCATAAAATAAAAACAATGCTTGAATGATGAGATCTTTTCTCCACAGGTCACATAGAAAAGATATCACATAACAAAATGACTCATCCACAAAAACAGGCCTAGAGTACAGATAACAGTCCATGATAGTTGGCTGTTCATTTTAATTTTCCTTATTATAAGACAATGGCATGATACAAAAATGCAATTTGTCACACTCAATTCTCCAAAGCACTAGAACTTTTTGATGGTCTGGCTTGATCCAAGGGCAAAATTAATTATCTAAATGAGAATGTACCGCACAGCTTTCAGGGAATTTCCCTCAAGCATGAATATTGGCTTTTAATAAGAATTGGATAAAGCATAGTTAAAAATTATCTTCTCAAACTAGAATCCAGGGTGCAGATAATTCTGTGTACTAGAGTAAAACAGAAAAAAATTAAGGAACTACCCAAGGCAAACATCCAAGTACCTTTAAAAAGGATTAATATTATACCCTCTAAAAATTTCTAAATTCATAATGGGAAAGTAAGACATCAAAGCTCTATGACATAAACCATGGCCACATTGACTTTTACAAAATCCACATTGGATTTTCTCAATACAGTTATTTCCAGTGACCCACTGTGGCTCAAGAAAAAAAAAAAAAAACTCAGTAAAACACCAAAAGGACATATTAATTTAAGTAAGATTGCTTTCTAGTGAACCCCGCAAGGTAAATTGGTTCCAATATTTTCCTAAGATAATTTGTTGAAGGAAGTTGTTGAACACAAAGTAAATGAATGTTGGAAAACTCTTGCCAAAAGGGATGATTGGGGCTTTAGAATGGCTGTGGTAGATTGGTTGCACTATTGTCCTCAATTTTCATACCTTTTCATGGTAGTACTTTTGGATACTACCATCCCACACTGACTCTGGGTTTGGCCATGTGGCATACTTTGGTTGAAGGGATAGTAGCAAATGTCACACATTTTTCTTTGCTCCTTTAGGAACCCTCTACCCCTATTTCCATGACAAAAAGCCCAGAGTTCCTGCTGGTGGATGAGACCACTTAAGGCAAAGCTGAATTGCCCCAGTTGAGACCTTGAAACCTGCCAACACCTGCCCACCAACAACCCAGCTACCAGCTGACTGCAGATACATAGGCATTCCCTGCCTAACACAGCAAAGCCAGGTCAGATCAGTCAGATTGCCCCACCAGTCCTAGGCTTGTGAAAAATAATAAGTGGCTGTTGTTTTAAGCCACTGAGTTTTGGAGTTTATTACACAGCAATAGCTAACTAATACAGTGCCTGAATTCAAGCCATTTCTTTATGTAATATTAGAAAACAGGGCCAGGTGCAGTGTCTCACTCTTGTAATCCCAGCACTTTGGGAGGCCAAGGTGGGAGCACTTGAGGCCAGGAGCTTGAGATCAGCCTGAGCGACACAGTGAGACCCCATCTCTACAAAAACAAAAAACAAAAAAATCAGCTAGACACTGTGGCACACACCTGTAGTCCTAGATACTCAGGAGACAAAGCAAGACCCTGTCTCAAAAAAAAAAGTAATAAGTATTATCTACTAATTATCAAGTTCCAGGAATTACTCTAGCAGGTCTTGGTCCTATTTTCTTTTAATTTTTAATTTTTTTTTTTTTTTAGAGACAAAGTCTCATTCTGTCACTCAGGTTGGAGTACAGTAGCACAATCATCACTCACTGCAACCTTGAACTCCTGGGCTCAAGTGATCCTTCTGTCTCAGCCTCCCAAGTAGCTGTGACTACAATTGTATGCCACCACACCTGGATGTTTTTTTTTTTTTTTTTTGGTAGAGATGGGGTGTCACTGTGTTGCCCAGGCAGATCTCGAACTCCTGGCCTCAAGTGATCCTCCTGCCTCACCCTCCCAAAATGCTGGGATTATAGGAGTGAGCCACTGCATGCAACCTCTATTTTATTCTAGTGGGAGGAGGGACCAATTCAATTCAAGTTGTACTTACACAGCTGAGCCTACAAATGGTTCCTATGCACAGAGTTAATTACTGAGTAAAGATCAGTAAAAGCTGCAAACATTTTATCTTGTTCTTGAAAGATTTCTGCATAAAATACACAGAACGGGAAAGTAATTTACTGTGGAATAGCTTTACCAAAAGCCTGCTCCTTGCACAGAATATTTACCTGAGAAACATAGACTTGCAATTTGTCATGGGAAACTGGCTAAAACATAAAAAAGAATAACCAGTAAATGGATAAATCCATAATTCAAAAAAGAGTAGAGGATTTATCTTTTTTAAAAGGGAGCAGGATAGGGAATATACTATATTATGGTCCATCAAAACAAAGTCAGAAAGGCCAGATACCAACAGACCATAAACAAGTTTAACAACAGAGAAAATCTTCGCCAAGTAATTTATACAATTTGGCCTTTTTAATCTGCAAGATTGTGAAATGAAATGTTTCCAATATGTATTAGGGAGTGTAAATTTATCTTAAACTATAAGCCTAAGAACAGGGACCCTCTATTGCTCAATACTGGGACTTCCTCAACTTTCCTCATCAGCGTCATCTTACAATCAATCGTTCCTGACTCTCAGTTCTAACTGCCAAGCCTGGGTCAGCCACAGAAATTAATTTTAAAAACAAAAGTATTTTTTGCAGAGTGAAGCTCAAGCCAAAAAAATAAAAAAAATTTAAAAAAAAAAAAGTATTTTTAAAATCAAGAGTTAAAACTGGATGTGGTAAGATTCTGTATGACTTCTGAATTGCATTTCAACATGAGCTCAGAAGCCTAGCCATAACTTTTTTTAGCTTCCTAACAACCAGAGACACAGGGATTGTATCAATCAGCATCCCATGTAGGAAACAGAAACCACTCAAGGTATTATAAGCAGTAGGGGTTTAATACAGGGAATCACATTATTCAAAAATGCATAATGGGCTGGAGAAACAATCTCTAAGGCGGTAAATCCCAGATGTTTCAGAACTCGCCCACCTTGGGACCTATACTTTGTGCATCATCAGAAACAGGGAGAATCGGTAAACATCGCTGAATGGACTGAGATGAAGAGCACACAACCACAGCTGTAACCCAGAGAGCAAGAAGCCAGGCTTAGGCAGCTGCCACTGTCCCCCAGCTGCCCATGCTCACCTGCAAAGCTGAAGAACAAGTACCAGCGTAGTGGTGCCCAAAACACATCATCTCAAGACTCCATTTGCTAGCAAAAATGACAAGGCAGCGTGAAAATAGACTTTGTTTCTATTTGTGTTCCTTTCCTTCCACCTTCCAGTCCTCTCAGGAAAGTATCTAATTGATGGAGACTTATTTGTATCCAGAATAACAACTGCAAGGGAATCTGAGAAACACAGTCTGGGCTTTCCAGTCTCTCGGTCGGTACAGGACCACACACCTGGGCCAGTCTAGCACAACCCATCAGGTAACTCCTGATTTTACTAAAAAAAGGACAGATAAATGCAGTTTTAATGTATCAACAATCTATTCATAAAAGCTGAAAGGAAACGTCTCTCTTAAGTCACTTGAGATAGAGATTTCATCGATCTGCAGATAGCTAAGGTAGCACCAATAGAATTTAAATGCATCTCACTCCATTTCACCTCTTCATCCCCGAAATAACCAGCTCAATCACAGCAAGGCACAAATAGACACCAGGGCAACTAAACCAATATTTAAAGTAAGGAAAAAAATCAATCACTTTCATTTAGTTCAAGATATCCATTCTTAGAATGCTAATGAACTATAATACATTTCATTTCTTCTTACTTGGCCTTGATCTGGAAAGACTTTAAGGGAACTACTACTACCTACAGCAAAGCCTCAGAGAGTGACTAGACTAGTCCTGAAACTATGAATGTGGACCACACACAGAGCCCACTTTGGAACAAAACAGCCACAGAGCATTCCGCACATTAAGGCGACGGATGACCTTAGTTGGTCACCATGGAGTCACCATGGAGTGCACCAGGAATTCTTGCTTATGCCAAGGCAGCCACGGAGGCTTGTGGTATCCTCTGAGGTTGCTTGACTTGAGAATTTAGCAGAACCTGGGGGCATTTTGTTGGAGAGCAATAAAAGGAACCAATCCTCTCCTCTCTGTCAGGATGTTTGAATATGCAACACATCCAGTCCCAGCTGGGAGGATGAGGGGAGAACATGAGGCAGCTGAGAGACCCACAGAGAAAAGGAAGCTAGCTGAAGCTAAGACAGAAGAAAAAGAGGTCAGCAGTTGAAAGAGGTGAAGAAAAACAGATGCCACCTTGGTAGAAGCCACAGACACAAAAATAAGCTGAGGGATGAGAATGGTAAGTCAGAGATGCACAATCTATGGTGATATACATGAAAAGTCATTCAAATTGAGCAGACTGTGTATTCAAATGAGGTTGGTGAGGAATTTGCCATTCAACATTTCCCTGTGGTCCCCAGAGAAGTGGCTTGTGGAAAATCTTCTGTCTCTCAATGATTTGAGGCTGGTATCCATTGGTTTTCCAACAGACTGGGTATTTAAATGGTTCTTCCTATTGCAGGGTTCTTAGCACAGATGAAAGTCCAAAGATCACAGAATTGTAGCTCAACACCCATGTAGAGAGTGGACGGTCTGACACAGGCAATATGTGAATATATATCAAGGCAAATTTCATCTGATTTATCAGAGAAATTAATTGGGACAAAAGGATTTCTAAAGAATAGAGTGTTATGAACTGAATCATGTCCCCCAAAATTCATATATTAAAGCCCTAAACACCAATTTGATTCTATTTGGAAGTACTGCATACAAGGAGGCAGTTAAGGTTAAACAAGGTCATAAGGGTGGTACTGGGGCTCTAAAACCAATACCCCAAATCATTTTGACAGGCTGGACAGACTGAAGAAGACTCAAGTTCTTTCTGACCTCCCATTCAACCATCAAGGTTCTCCCAAAAAGTTGAAGTTTCTTTATCTAAGATTTAGACCCACCTAGGAGAACATTTGTTCTTTTCTTCTCCTCCCTATGAAGACCCTGAAATGTGACCACCCCTGAACAGACTCTTTGAGAAGACAATGCCAGTCAGACTCATTCAAATTGCAAAGAGAACTATTCATCAGTTAATCTTTGTTTCCCATCCATTCATCCTTCCTAGTAATCTTTTATTGCCCCTCAACAGAATTCCTCTTTTCCCCCCTCCCATAACCCATTTTACCAGAAAGGCATGTAAGCTTCTGAACCTCGTCCAAGAGTTGTTTTCATTCTATAGGCTCCTATGTATGCATGTTAAATAAATTTGTGTCTTTTTCTCCATTTAATTACTCTGCCTCATGTCAGTGATTTTTTCAGTGAACCTTGGCAGGGCAGTAGCTGTGCTCCCTACTATGGAATACCTTAGGATTAATGTCCTTATGAGAAGAGACACCAGAGAGCTCTCTCTTCTCTCTCTCTCTCTCTCTCTCTCTCTCTCTCTCTCTCTCTCTCTCTCTCTCTCTTTCATGCACAGAGAAGAGGTCATGTGAATGCACAGTGAGACAGTGGCTGCCTACAAGCCAAGAGAAGAGTCCTAAGACTGGCACCCTGACCTTCCAGCCTTCCAGAACTAGAAGAAAATAAATGTCTAAGTCACCCAGTCTATGATATTGTGGTATGGCATCCCCTTCCTCCCTACAAATATGAAAAAAATGAGCATAACTAGCCCATCTTTATCTCTGTGAAAGATTTTTCCCCTATAACCAGGAAAAAGAGAAAACTAAAACCTGGGATTTATGGGCTCCTGCAGTCAAATGATTAATGCAGCCAAAATAGATATAGTAACTTTGCTTGAAGTTTTTTAAATGAGGTAATTTAGAAACCTTATCTTTGGGCCCCAACTATGTCACAGTCTAGTAGAGGAATCTTATTCATTGGAAGAAAAACAACATCAGGCTGAAAAACCAGAAATTATTAATAGAGAATAAATATATTGGTCATAGCATAGGGATTGATATTATCAAGTGCTACATTGGTCATAATCTCAGCATCAACCTCACTCTCTCTTTTGAATCCAAACATATCCCCCAACACCAGATTTTGGAGCAAAGAAAATGTACAGGTGTTACAAAAAGTTTGGCACATCTCTGAGGCTGCATCAGAATAACAAGGACAAGTGGTTTGAGGGGAAGGAAAAAGGAGTTTATTAATTTTTCTGGCAAATGAGGAGGTTGGCAGAGTCCTGTCTCCAAGTCCCAATGTCCTGCCTCTGAGCAGAAGTACAGAACTTTTAAATGTTCTGATTAATCCCATAATCCCATCTTTGGCTAAGACAATTTTGTGACCTCCACCCAGGTAATTCCCCAAGCCATCTCCTGTGGTGCAAAGAACACGGGACTCTTTCCTGCCCCTCCCCACCACTGGCCTGAGGCAGGGATGTAGGTTTTGGTTCTCAAGAAAGATGAGGGGGTTTTGAAGAGAGAGCAAATATTTTTACCCTCTTTCAGGCCATTCTCTCTGTTACCCAGGCTACCTGGCGGAAGACAATAGCCCTGATATTGAGCTCATAGGAGAGTCAATCATCTGGAGAGGATCATTTTTGACTGTCACCAGAAAAAGTGTCCCAAGTGACAACTGAAACCTACAAAAGCTTGCTGTCCATGTTAGCATTGGATATTACTATTCCACTGTTCTCATCAACATAATTTTATTCCTTGAAACACTGGTGCAGAAAGATAAAAGTTGCAAATAACTTTATTGTTCACTGTAGAGACTTCCTGAGAAATCCATCAATTCTTCAATAGAAAGTATCAAATGACAGATTATACACCAAGACTCTTTAAACCCCTTGCCTCAAAATCACTGCCTTGCTATACCTACCAATCCTTTCTCACACCTACTTAAGGCCCTGCATAAAGCCTCCCTCAGCCAGACTTTAAAAACTCATGAATATCCCAACTTCCCCTGCACTCCCCACCAGATGCTACTAAGACTCTGTTCAAGATAGTGTTCTCTCTGACTGCAATAAGAATAAACTCAGCTTTGTCTCATCAACATATTGTCTCAGTGATGCCAGTATTCTGTAGGAGTTAGAAAATAATCAAGGGTAACCAAAGGGTGCAAAATGTCTAGGCTGGGCACAGTGGCTCACGCCTGTTACCATAGCACTCTGGCAGGCTGAGCCAGGAGGATTGCTTGAGCTCAGGAGTTTGAAACCAGCCTGAGCAAGAGTGAGACCCCATCTCTACTATAAATAGAAAGAAATTAGCCAACAACTAAAAATAGAAAAAATTAACCTGGCATAGTGGCACGTGCCTGTAGTCCCAGCTACTTGGGAGGCTGAGGCATGAGGACCACTTGAGCCCAGGAGTTTGAGGTTGCTGTGAGCTAGGCTGATGCCACAGCACCCTAGCCCAGGCAACAGAGTGAGACTCTGTCTCAAAAAAAAAAAAAAAAAAAAAGATGTCTTGAGGAAGTAGCTAGAGAAGTGTCCCTTCAAAAGAGTGGGCAGGAAGACTAAGCATCTAAATGGTGGAAGGGCAAGATGAGCCTCACTGAGGACCAGGAATCATCACTGGGGTGCACCCTCTGAAGAAGGCCATGGGAGAAACAGTACCAAGAGACTGGAGGGACAGGCTCTGCCATGGTGCCATGGAGCCCCACATATATCCACAAATAATTTGCAGACAAAGGCTTGACCCAAGCTAATCAGTCTTGGCTGAATGCCTGGTGATCCTCCTAAAGCCCAAGAGCACAAAAGGCCTTTGAAGAGCTTCTATGAGGCCATTTCCCAGTCTCCCCTGGGAAGCTATCATGAGGAAGTTTCTCATCATGAAGTGGTATAGGTCTCCCTGCCCCAGCCCTTCATAACAGTGACAGTATATAAAACCATCAGCTGCAGTCTGGAGTTAGCGCCTCAGCGACAGGTACCTCACAACATGCATTGCAATCTCCTAGTCCCTTTGGTTTTAGTGTCCTTCTTCTTAATGTGTAGAATAATGACCTTGATGAGCTGGCACCTATGGCCAATCTTCTTTTCATCATCTGTGTAAGTAATAGACTGTCTGACTCTAAAAGTGGCTCATTGTATCTTTACCAGCTGGATCAGTTGGGACTTAACCTTGTCCTTGCCTTGGCTCATGTGTGCTTGGCAGAAACTAAGTGAAGCTGTGGGATCCACATGGTAGTCCTAGGCCCGATCTACCCCCAACCTCACCCCCACTCTCTTACCCTTGGGCTCTCTGTACAACAGAAATTAGCGAGAGGCCAAACAGGAGTCACAGGCAAGGGTTTAGTGGGGCTTATGTTTGAACATAATGGAGACAGCACAGAGGAAAAATCCTCAGGCTGACTCCAGAAGGGGAGTTCAGGGATAATTTTTAAAAGACTTAGGCAGGAAAAGGGTGAAGTATAAGCATATATAGGTGAAGTTCTCTTGTGCACCTGCACCTGTGTAGTTCTATCATATGCTTCTTCATACACTGTAGGTCTCATTAGCATGTTAAATCTCCACCCCCGGGCATGATTTTTAGCATTAAAATGAGGTTGATAGGATGGCCTTGCTAATAAATTATCTAACAGAGAAAAAAAAACTATCGAAATAAAGGAAGAAAGAAAGAAAGAAAGAAAGAAAGAAAGAAAGAAAGAAAGAAAGAAAGAAAGAAAGAAAGAAAGAAAGAATAACCTCATAGCACATAATTGTCCTTTTGAAGGGAAAGATCACAGCACAACAGCCTCTTGTCTGATTTACGACCTGGGCTCAACTCATTGTCTTTAAGATTAACTATCTGTGACTTTTTTAAAGAGTTTATTGTATCAGTCTTGAAGAGTCCAGACTAGACAGTAAAGGTGTGAGTCACTGTCTCAGTTTTTGTCAGACCACATGATAAGGCAATCTCATGGCGAGGAGGGGGAAAAGGCATAAATAGACTCAGTTCCTTTATAGTCAGCTCTTGTTACTATAATAGTTTATAATATTAACTGTTTAGTTATCCTTTTTATGAAAACTCTGAGCCCCTTAGCCTTGGGAGCAACACTTTTTCTCTCTTGCATCATGCCCTTTCACCTTTGGTAAGTAAAATAAACTTTTTTTTAAAACTATTTTAATCTTTGTGTCAAGAATTCTTTCTCAGCCTGTACCACAAGTTCCCAGTCTAGCATTTGGGGGCCCATACAGGCTACCTCCATACAGGGATCTCACTTTTCTACCTCTGTCTTGGAGAACTCATGTCTCTCTCTCTCTCGGGGAACTTTCTTTTATGCCTCAGTCTTGAAACTGCTCCCTCCACTGATACACAACCCCCTGGCTTTTCAGAGACAGAATTACCTGAGAGGCCCAGGTAAGAAGGCACCAGGATCACACTCATCTACAGGAACTGAGCCCTGCTTCCTCTACAGTCAGCTGGGTCACTGAAGTATAGACACAGGGGACTGCACTTGCCTTCCATAACTGGTGGGCCCCCTGTGCTGGCATCCTCCTTAACCATGGATCTTCTGGGACTACTTCAGTCTGACTGACAGATCCCAGCTTTGGAACAGGCTCCACTTTGCAACACTGAGATGGCCAAGCCCAGGGTAACTCTCTCTGTTATAGGCTTCACTGTGACAACCCCAAACACATCTCTGATTGTCAGAAAAGAACAGATCTTTGACCTTTGGATTTTGACATTTTTGTCCTGATGAATGAGTGCTATTTACAGAAAACTCCTCTCTTTCCATTTGGGGAATTCCAGAGAGATTCCCATTTGGATTAAAAGCCTCAACCATTTTGGAGAGTAGGACCTCTGATTGTATTTGACACTCCCTAGACTTCTTTATTGGAAATAGAGTCCATTTAATGTATGTGTGTACACATTGGTAATCCCCCTGTTTCGTCTGTTTGGGCTTTTATGCCATTTAGACCCAGGAAAGGTATTTTAAGTACTGGTTGATTTTAGATAAGATTCATGAAAACTTCTCTGATGTGGTGTTCCCAGACTTGGGTTTAATATCTCTTAAATTTCTTTTTGTATTAAGTGGTCATCTATATTAATATATGACATAAAAATGAACAGTCTATGAAAAAAAGTTTAAAGACATGTCAGGTTTCTAGGACTCCAACTGGTCTCCACATATTGTTTTGTTCTTGTACACATGTTTAAATTAACAGACAAATTACATCAAGAAAAGTTCAGAGTTCAAAGGGTCAAACTGCTATCTTTCTGTTAAACTCTTTTATTTTCTGTCTACTTTAAATCTACAGTTGCTAAGTTACTGGTATTAAGATAAACTCACCGTCTAGGATATCACTAATTCAAAGTTACTTAAAACAGCCAGTTCTAACAACAATGTATACGATGAAAACTCA